ATCGGCTCCCCGGGGAAGGTGGGGGGCTGTGGGCTGGAGCAGGACCCCGGGCACCTGCGCTGCCCCGGCTCTGCCGTTTGACCCGTCCTGAGATCTCGGGCAAGCGCCGTCGCTCTGCGCTCAGCGTGATGCTGGCCTGGCACTAGCCCTAACAGCAAAATGGGATCCAAAGTTGCTTTTATGCACCCAGAAGAGCAGGAGAACCAGCAACATTAATGCATCCAGGAGCTACCTATGGCTATTGAAATGGGGGATTACAGGCATAAAGGCTTGGCTGACTCACTAGACCTCATTAAAGTCTAATAATCTCTATAAAGATGCAGCATTGCACATACACAGCAGCCCTAGCCCGTCGGAGCTAAAGCTCAGCGAAGGCTCTATTAGCCATTTGATAGTTTGGGCATGAAACCGTAAAATGTGTTTATTTGCGTTGTGAAAGCACTTAGGTCAGGATTCCCTCCGTAAGGCTCAACCTCAGCAGTTTGGTTTAGGAACAAAAGGGCCAGGCTTGTCCGGGCAAGCGACGTTACAGGAGCTGCCACGTCGCCGGCAACCCGGGGAGCTGTGCTGGAGGCTTGGGGGGACGCAAGCCCTCCAAGCAAAACATTACACACTCGCCCAGCTGCAGGAACTTCAGTATCACCAGCCTAAAAACTTGGTAAAAGAAAACCTGAGACAGACCGTAAAGCGAGCTTGATGTAGAAATGGTGAGATCTAACACAAATTGAGGTTTATATTAGTGTTGTGACATCTAAGCCTCTGGAAATCCCCTTTTCTTGGGGCTTTTTTGTGATTGAGCCAGTTGTTTGTTTTTCTGGAAGCTGAAGTTCTGGAGTAACCAAGCGGCCCTGATAGCCACTCTGGGAACTGCTCCAACTACTGCCAAATTCTGGTGAAAACCTCAAAGGTTGGCACCTCCGCGATGTTGATGCCTTTAAAGAAGTTCTCGCGTCAGGTAGGGCTCTTGCGACAATAACCTTTTGTCGCTCATTAGTTTGTCCGGAGGCTTTTTCACGAGCAAACTTCCTTCTTGTTCGAGATCTTGGCATCTGGCTGGAACCTGCTGCAAATGTTTCTGTCTGGACAAAACCTGACTGACCCCGAGTTGAGGAAAATTGATGCCTTGAAGCTGTCGTAGGGGTGAGAAAGGTCCGGTTGTGCCATCCTTGCGTTAAATCGTACCTTCCTGTGAGATTTGTCCTTTCTGAAATCCTGGAGTAATGCATTAGCACATTTTGGAGGTGATAGCTGGCCAAGAGGAGTCTCATTTGAATCTGAGGCCACTGCTGGGTTTTTTGGATATGGTAAATAGGAAACGATAGAACGACAGAGTCTGATTGACTGGAAGATTACAAAGGGAGAAGAGGTCCCGGTAACCTACAGAGAGATGGATTTAGGTTTATTTGAGGTTGATTACACCAAGTTATTTTTTACTATATAGGGCAAAATTAACGAAGGAGCACTTGGACTGCGCAGAGTTGAGAAAATTCTCTTAATGGGAGAATTACTCAAATACTAAACAGCATTTTAAGGAAGATGGTGGAACTCTCATCACTTCAGTCCTTAAAACCAGAGGAGGCAGAAGCGATGGGATCCACCGCCCCGGATGGAGAGCGGTGTCAGGTCTGGGGAGATGCTGGGGTGGCTGTATTCCTGCAGCAGATCCATCGGCTCCTGATTTTTTTTCTGGTTCATCTAATCCTGGTGCTGGGGAACCCGGATCGACTGGTCCCCACCAGCCGTAATGAGTGCAGTTACTGGCTGGGGGCTGCTGATTGACTTTGGTGGGAGGGTGGAGAAGGCGGTTCTGGGAAGCCGGTTTCTAAATGGGCAGAAGCACAGGTTAGCTCGGCTGGGAGACTCATGAAATTTTAAATTAGGAGGATTTTGTGGGGAAGAGGAAAAAGTATTAACAAACTAAAGAGAGCTAATTACTGGAGATGGAGAACATTCACTGTGTAGCCGTAGATGACAGCAGTAAATAGTTCCCATCAGGGCTTTTCCTGCTTCGGAGACAAAGAGATTGGCCGTCCACTGAGTTATCGAAGATGATAAGGGGCTGCATTTTATAAATGGAGATAGGCTCTAATTGCAAAAATGCCTGCGAATACTTCTGTGGCACTTTGCTGAACCCTGGTGTCATGGAGGATTTTTGAAGTCTGCTTTCCACAGTCATTACACACTGCTTCATTTGTAATGAAGTTTGCAACTCGTGGAACTTCATTTGGATAAATTTTAGCTTCCCCCACCCCCAAATCTATTTTATGTCCATCTACTAATGGGGAAAGAAATTAAACCTTGGTTCCTTGTGTAATACTGCAGCAGAGGCAGTCGCAGGGATTTAACTCCTCCGCTTGAGAAGCAGAAACAACTCTGTGGCCAACCTCCACCGTGCAACACAGCTTGAGCAACACCCCACAAGGCAAATAATCATAAGCTATAAGCGAATGCATTCAAGTACACCTTGACTTAGGCTCTAACGAGGGAAATTTTACCGAATGAGTTGGTGCAAAGGCTCTCCCTTGCATCTCATTGTAGCAGGGGGTGAGTGGGGGGTTAAGGGTGGGCGGATTTAGGGCCTGGGGATTTTTTTTTCCTCTTGTTATTGTTTGCCCTCCAGCTCAGCGAAATCCTTCTTTTCTGAGCGCGGGTTGTGACTCCGCTAGCAGGAATCCTCTTCTCCCAAGCCCGAATAATGGCCCGTCCTGGTCTCCTAGTAACTGCGGCTGCCACATCACTTTTGACAATGGTGCATCCTTTGTAGCCGGGTTCTCTGCTCCCGCTGTCTGCTCTGTTTCTTCAAATAGCAATTGTCTGAAATTTCTCCAAATGAGCAACTTTCGTGTGTGGTGGTTTTGTTTGGTTTGTCTGTGCTGGCAGAAAGGGGTTTAACGTGTCTTTTTGTGTTTCTTCCTTAAAGCAAGCGTGAACCCTTCACTTTTGACAATGGTGCATCCTTTGTAGCCGGGTTCTCTGCTCCCGCTGTCTGCTCTGTTTCTTCAAATAGCAATTGTCTGAAATTTCTCCAAATGAGCAACTTTCGTGTGTGGTGGTTTTGTTTGGTTTGTCTGTGCTGGCAGAAAGGGGTTTAACGTGTCTTTTTGTGTTTCTTCCTTAAAGCAAGCGTGAACCCTTGGGGAACATACTTTTGTGAGATATCACAGCAGGGTTCCCCCCCCCCCCCCCAAAAATAATTCCTGGTGGATTTTGTACCAACTTCATTTTTCCCCCCCCCCCCCCCCCCCCCCCATCAAATATTGCTCGTGTTATTTTCTGAAACCATCCTTTCAAAGCATTTTAAACTTTCTGTTCTCGGAGTAAAAGTCTTCCCATTGATTATTGCACTAAAAGGCTTTCTTTGCTCGATGTGTTTTGGAACTGGCCTCTATCTAGATGTAAAAGTGCATATAATGAAACTTCGCCAGCAGCCAGCAAACCTCTCTCCAAGCTGTGGAGAAAGAATCTGACTTGTGAAGGCTGAAGCATAAAACCTGCTCTCGTGGTACTACCTGCCTCGTAACTCCGCTGGGGTTTTGTTGGCGCAAGGGGATTTTTGGAGCTGCCCTGGTGCTCTGGATATGGGGAGTTTCGGGGCAAAATGAAGGGCTGGGAGGGGAAGATGCTTTTTGGTCTTCTCTGTGTGGGGAATGTGTCCACGTAAGTGGGAGCCTGAAGTTTGGATGTATGGGGAAAGGGGGGAGGTTGGGAATACCCATCAGTGGTGCAGAATGAGCCCATGCCCGAGCAATAGCAACCAAGCGTCCGCGTGAAAGTCCCAAGTCCCGGCAGACCCCAAAGCTGGACCCAACACCCGGTTACTAGAAGGGGCAAGTTCGGATGCATCTGAACGGAGCCGAATTTGGGCACGGGGCAAGGCGATGCCCTGTGCCTCGTTCACAACCCCACCGATTTATTTTCCTTCTCCCTCAAGGAGACTGAGATTGCTCTCAGTAAAAACACTTGACCTGCCTCGGTGCCACTGTGAAAACTTTATTGTCTCTCTCAAGGACGGCGTTGTTGTGTTTGGTTTTTTTTTTTCCCCCTTCAAAGTAAATTAAATGCTACAGTCAGAGCTCCACTTCACACACACGTACGCACGCGGGCGCGCACCTTTGCACCGAGGAACGGCAGCGCTTGGAGCTGAATGTGGCTGGGCGAGGGTGGGAGTGGGCACTGGGGAGCCGGCAGCGATACGAAACATGGATGAGATGAAGGGGAAACGCATGAATCACAGCGTGTCAGGGGAAACACATGAATCATATATTGTGTCAGCAGATTGGACAGATTCCACCAGGATTTCTCTACCTGAGGATCCACAGTTTCAAGTCCCTGAAACCCCCCCTGTGCCGTGGTGCCCGGTGTGAACCGTGGTGGGGTGGCAGCCCGGGAAGGTCCCTCCCTGCCCTCCCACCCGTCCCAGCTCCCCGTTACCATCCTGGCAGCCCTTTGCATCCTGACATGGGAAAACTCAGCTCCAGCTCCCGCCGCTGCAGAACTCGGACGTGGAGGAGATGATGTGGCTGCCCATGGATGTCTTGCAGTCATGGAGGGCATCAGGTGCCTTTCTCCCCCCTGAGGTCTTCCCCTGGCTCCAGGCTGTGTAAGCCTGCTTCTGGAGCCCTCTTTGCCTGGTCACCAGCCTTTTAGGACCATGTGGCCTAAATCCAGGCAAAGCCATTATTGCAATGAGAAACCCAAGTCCTGATTGTGGCTTTATGTCCTATTTTCTGTATCCTAGATTCAGACCCTGCCTTCGCGTACCAGTCTCTAAAGACCACGGATCCAGGCCAGGTTTAGCGATGCTGGTACCCCACAGCCTAAAATTCCTCCTCTTGACATTGGACCTTTTGGGGAAAATGGAAAATCCTCCTCTTTCTTCTTTGCTTCTGGTTTCTAGGGACCGCCGCACTCCCACCCCCGCTTACAAAACCGTCCCCGTCCCTCCCCCCGCCCCCCAGCACCCGCTCGTCACCGGGGCATCCCGCGATGGGCAGAGTGCGTCATCCCGAGGGGTAGTAGGGTACGTCGCTGTGATAGTTGTAGTCGGGACACACTTTCTGCACCAGCCTGTAGTCTATGCTGTAGAAGGTGATGTAGATGCAAATGACTTTGAAGGGCTTCGAGCAGACCCAGGAGACGTGACTTTGGGTGTGCTCGTGGTAGCAGGTCTTAGATGGGTCGTAAGTGCAGAGCGTGGTCTTCTTGGCACGATCCACTTTCTCGTACTCCACGCGGCAGTTGAAGATTTTGGATTCTTTGGCCTCGATGAAGATCTGTTGCTCCAGGTCAAACTCCACTGCCTTGGTGGGGGGGACGAGGCTGACGGAGATGTTCCCTTGCCCGGTAGAGTTGTGTCGGAAGAAGACGTTGACTGTGCCGTTGCCGTGATCAACCACCTTTCCGGTGATCAAGAGGTTCAACTTCACTGTCTTGATATTGGAATAGAAATCTCCCCAGCCAAAAATCTTTTTAAGCTTGCCTGAGGCTGGCCCCAAGTCCCTTTGTCCTCTGGGGTGTGGAGCGTGGTCCCGCTCGGACAGGTTGTCCAGGATATCCCATAACTCCTGTGAGCTGCTCACCAGCTCCAGAAGGGTCATGTTCTGCAGTAAGGTTGGAGTTAACAGGGACTTTGGAGAGAGCAGCCCTCTCACCTTCCGCACTTGAGCTCTCTCCTGGGTCTTGGGTTCACGTTGCTCTGCACCTTTCCCTGGTTCTTCTTGGCCACAGATCACCTGAACATAGTGATGGTAAAGAGTGAGAGATGGGTGATGGGTGCCTGCCTCCTGGCCCAGTCTCCAGAGTCTCCCTACTTCTCCAGACATGACCCAGCCATCCTCTTTCCCATCCTTGCTTTCCTTATTTCCCTTTTCTCTTGCCTTTCCTCTCTACTTCTCTCTGTAGTCCGTATTTCCCTTCTGGTAGCAATTTTTCCCTGCTCTCCTTCTCCTCTCACGGTTGCCCGGGGAATGGGTGAAAGGAGCTGGGACGGGTGCATTTTGCTCACTGATGGTGCAGCCTGGCAGCGGCACCTCTCTCAGGGCAGAGCACTTGCACCCGGGGGATCTCTGCAGATACTGGGGAGAGGGTGCTGGGGGGGTGTGGGAGTGTGGAATCCACACCTGCAACAAGGGTGCCGGCTCCGTGGCCTTCGCACCAGTCTCGCTGCTGACAGCACGTCTCATGGACCCCTCTTCTGACCTCCAAGCTGTGCCGTGGCCCGTGGAGAGATGGAGCTGGGAGCAGCGGAGCGGGGCAGCACGAGGGACAGCAAAGCGCAGAGGTGAGTTCTCACCCCGGGGAGATGCCCTTC